CACATGAGAATTCTCTGTTCCAGTAGAGGCATTAGCAGATGAAAGATATTTCCTGTAAAGCTGCTTTGTGGTTTAGTCACTAAGTCGTGTCCAACTCTTGCGACCCCATGGACTGTCGTCTGCCAGGCTCCTCTGTCCATGGGATTCTCCAGGCAAGAATACTGGAGTGGGTTGCCATTTCCTTCTCCAGGGGATCTTCCTGACCCAAGAATGGAACCTGGGTCTCCTGCATTGCAGATTCTTTACCAACTGAGCTACGAAGGAAGCTGCTTTATTCAACGTTAAATCCAGTTGCAAGATTTTTTTTTTTAAATGGTCAACAATTATTGTGCTTGATGGAATCTAATCCCTTAGATATATATTTATACATAAAAACATGACTATGTTAAAAAGTCTGAAATTTCAGTTTAACACAGATTGTCTTGAAATCTAATAAAGAATGAAAACAAGCAGGTAAGACCTCAGTTTTGGTGGGGGAAAACAGAAATGACTGGACACTACCATAACCCTCAAGGCTAAAATTCACACTTCTAAAATACTTAGCCATTAAGCAAATAAAAATCAGGATTTTGTTTTTGTCCTTTTTTTTTAAAGTCTAAAGAATAAAATCAGTTTTTATGAGAAGAGTTCAGAAACAAACAGAACTTCCAAGATAAATTGCTTGTTTCAACTACACTAGACATAGTCCCTAAGGCATAAAAGTGGTTCCAAAGTCTGTTTCATACTAAACTAGCTCTGGAGGAATCTTTAAGAATTCTAGGGCCCAAGATGCGCCCCATATTAAAGACATCAGGATGTCTAGCGGTGTGAGTCAGGTACCCCAACTTCAGATCCCGGACATGGGACAAAGCAGGGGGCCACTGCCCGCAGGCATGCGAGCTCTCGATTCATGCGAGAGAAGGCTGTGCAGTGAGTGAGGACAAGAGAAATGGATCAGGACAAAGGTCCTGAGGAGGGCGGGAAATCCGGGCTGTGTCCTCGGCCCCGAGGAAGCAAGGTGAGCCCGCTGTGCTGAGAGCCAGGTTCCTTCCTGAAGCGCGAGACGATACTGGATGGGGGCTTTCACAGGAAACCCCAACTCACAAGGTCCCACGCGGGGCAGAGAGTCCTGTCACTCACGAGTCCCCCAGGGGCATCAGGCCCACAGACGCCCCCGAGAAGACGCGCAGGCGGCCGAGAGGCACCCTGCAAGGGCTCACCACCGCTCAGCACCAGAGAGACGCACAGACGCGCCCCGAGAGAAGACGTGCAGGTGGCCCAGAGGCACCCTGCAAGGGCTCACCACCGCTCAGCACCAGAGAGACGCACAGACGCGCCCCGAGAAGACGCGCAGGCGGCTGAGAGGCACCCTGCAAGGGCTCACCACCGCTCAGCAACAGAGAGACGCACAGACGTGCCCGAGAAGACGCGCAGGCGGCCGAGAGGCACCCTGCAAGGGCTCAGCACCGCTCAGCACCAGAGAGACGCACAGACGCGCCCCAAGAGAAGACGCGCAGGCGGCCGAGAGGCACCCTGAAAGGGCTCACCACCGCTCAGCACCAGAGAGACGCACAGACGCGCCCCGAGAGAAGACGCGCAGGCGGCCGAGAGGCACCCTGAAAGGGCTCACCACCGCTCAGCACCAGAGAGACGCACAGACGCGCCCCGAGAGAAGACGCGCAGGCGGCCGAGAGGCACCCTGAAAGGGCTCACCACCGCTCAGCACCAGAGAGACGCACAGACGCGCCCCGAGAGAAGACGTGCAGGTGGCCAAGAGGCAGCCTGAAAGGGCTCACCACCGCTCAGCACCAGAGAGACGCACAGACGCGCCCCGAGAGAAGACGTGCAGGTGGCCCAGAGGCACCCTGAAAGGGCTCACCACCACTCAGCACCAGAGAGACGCACAGACACACCCCGAGAAGATGTGCAGGCGGCCGAGAGGCACCCTGAAAGGGCTCACCACCGCTCAGCACCAGAGAGACGCACAGACGCGCCCCGAGAAGACGTGCAGGTGGCTGAGAGGAACACTGCAAGGGCTCACCACCACTCAGCAACAGAGAGACGCACAGATGCGCCCCGAGAAGACGTGCAGGTGGCCCAGAGGCACCCTGAAAGGGCTCACCACCGCTCAGCACCAGAGAGACGCACAGACGCGCCCCGAGAAGATGTGCAGGCGGCCGAGAGGCACCCTGAAAGGGCTCACCACCGCTCAGCACCAGAGAGACGCACAGACGCGCCCCGAGAGAAGACGTGCAGGCAGCCGAGAGGCAGCCTGCAAGGGCTCACCACCACTCAGCACCAGAGAGACGCACAGACGCGCCACGAGAAGACGCGCAGGTGGCCCAGAGGCACCCTGAAAGGGCTCACCACCGCTCAGCACCAGAGAGACGCACAGACGCGCCCCGAGAAGATGTGCAGGCGGCCGAGAGGCACCCTGAAAGGGCTCACCACCGCTCAGCACCAGAGAGACGCACAGACGCGCCCCGAGAGAAGACATGCAGGTGGCCGAGAGGCAGCCTGCAAGGGCTCACCACCACTCAGCACCAGAGAGACGCACAGACGCGCCACGAGAAGACGCGCAGGTGGCCCAGAGGCACCCTGAAAGGGCTCACCACCGCTCAGCACCAGAGAGACGCACAGACACACCCCGAGAAGACGCGCAGGCGGCCGAGAGGCACCCTGAAAGGGCTCACCACCACTCAGCACCAGAGAGACCCACAGACGCGTCCCGAGAGAAGACGTGCAGGTGGCCGAGAGGAACACTGCAAGGGCTCACCACCACTCAGCACCAGAGAGATGCACAGACGCGCCCCGAGAAGACGTGCAGGTGGCCGAGAGGAACACTGCAAGGGCTCACCACCGCTCAGCACCAGAGAGACGGAGCTGAAACCACAAGGAGCCGCCACCTCGCAGCTGCCAGGGTGGCCAGAGTCAAAGGGTCTACAAACAGTAAATGCTGGAGAGGGTGTGGAGAAAAGGGAGCCCTCCCACACTGCTGGTGGGAAGGGAAACTCATGTAGCCACTCTGGAGAACAGTATTGAGCTTCCTCAAAAACTAAAGTAACCACTTCTGGGCAAATATTCAGAGAAAATTCTAATTTGCAAAGATGCACGCACCCCAGTGCTCACTGCAGTGCTGTTGACAACAGCCAGGACGTGGCAGCGATCTGCATGTCACGACAGGGGAGCGGGTAAACAAGCTGTATGCCGTGTGCGTCTGCATGTGTATATCACGCATTGAGCTTAGTCGCTCAGTCGTGTCCCACTCTTTGTGACCCCATCGACTGTAGCCCAGCAGGCTCCTCTGTCCAGGGCATCCTTCCTGCAAGAATACTGGAGCTGGTTACCATTTTCTCCTCCAGGGGATCTTCCCAACCCAGGGACTGAATGAATAAAGAAGTGTGGTGTGAGTGTGTGTGTAAACGTAATACTCAGCCATAAAGAAGAATGAAACAATGCCATTTTGCAGGAGCATGGATGGACCTGGAGATAATCATACTGAGTGAAGTAAGTCAGACAGAAAAAGACAAATACCGTAGCATATCACTTATCTGTGGAATCTAAAATACGATGCAAATGAATTTATTTACAAAACACAGACTGATGAACATAAAACATGGTTCCCAGAGGGTAAGCGGGGTGAGAGAGACGAGGAATGTGGTTCCTGCAAACCAGCAGGGGCCAGTCCCCTGCAGGGTGGACGGGACCCACGGGAAGGAGCAGGGCAGGACAGAGTGCACATGTGACAGGCAGCAAAGGCATGAGTGCTGGCCCGGCTCTGCCCTTCATTTTCCCAAAGGAAAAAGGCTAAGTGGCCACACGGCACCAAGGAAGAAGGCTGGGGCACGGAAACCCATCCTGGATGCAGCCACGGGCCACCAGCTCACACAGGGCACGGGGACAGGGCGGCCACCCTGGGCAGGTCTGCAAGCTGCGCCAGGCTCAGGGCGGTCCCCACGGTCATGACACGGGAGCCGGCGGCCCAGGGGGCTTCACACGTGCTGGAGGGCTCGACGTTTCTTTCCCTGAGAATCTGTCTGCCCCTAAAAACTGCCTCCTTCCCGACTGCTCCATGTTTATCACTACAGTTGTCACCTGGATTTTGGGTTTCACTCTATGGTAGTTTGTAGGCCTGATAACAACGTGGCACAGGATAATGAGGGGCTGATCCAAGAGCTCGGCTGTGAGAGCCCATGGTGAAGAGCAGCAAGTGTGAGTCCTCCTGGAGTGGGGCCCGCGTGAGCCTCAGAGCCGCCCTGAGACAGCTGGGAGGGGAGAGAGGAGTGGGGAGAGAGAGAGAGACGAGGCGGGGGGGGGGGGGGGAGGTGGGGAGAGAGAGAGGAGTTGCGGGGGCGGGGGGGGGGACAGAGAGAGGAGGGGAGAGGGGGAGAGAGAGGAGGGGAGAGGGGCCCGAGAGAGCCTCAGTGCTGCCCTGAGACAGCTGGGAGGGAGAGGGGGAGAGGAGGGGGGAGAGAGAGAGACGAGGGGGGGAAAGGGGGAGAGAGAGAGGAGGGGAGAGAGAAAGGAGTGGGGACGGAGAGAGGGAGAGAGAGAGGATCGGGGAGACAGAGAGAGAGAGCAGGTTCCCAGGCTGCAGCCTCGGAAGACCTGAGTCGCAGCAGCAAAACCTTTCCCTCCGACAGTTTTGGGTCAGGCTGTGATCACCTCATAAATCCCAGATGGCCGGGTTCTTCACCTCCTACCTAGTGGCTGTTTACTCGACAACAATTGCTGGCTCAGCCAATGCTCTCTGCTCGAGGGAAGCTGGTGGCGTTTTTACAAGCGAGAAATGCCCTGGCAAAGGGGCGCAAGGAGGTTGGCTCCACCAGTAGTAACTCTGTCCTGAATGTAAGCAGTGCTCTTGGTTTTACTGTCAAGAGTTTCCCAACATCCACCCATAATTAATTTTTAAAAAATCAAAAGCAAGCTGGATGGAGCAGTTTACGTGGCATTAACCCAGGGCAGAACAGCGCGGCGTGGGCAGCAGCGGAAAGCCTGAAACGATGTTTGCACACACTGACCTTCTGGCCTCTCCCCCTCTTCCTGGACTCCTCCCGCGGTCTGCAGAGGTCCTGGCAGCCTTTCTGTGAGCCGGCCACAACACTGTGTTTTGTTGCTCCGCTTTTCACACCTAAAACCCAAGCGGACTGAAGATTAGTTACAAGTTTACGTGGCCTGAAATACTAATGCAACTTAAGCCGAATAAACTTTTTTTAATTAATTCACTCATTCTGGCAACAGGAAACTATAGTCTTTGACAATAAACATTGCGTACTGCTTGCTCTTTGAGGTCTAGTTATAACATTCCATTGATTATGTTCCAATATCTCAAGGAATTCATAACTCAAGGGTCAGAAACCACCGTGCCTGTCATGTGACAAAGCACTAGTTCCACAGAACCCCGTCTGTCCAGCTGGTGGCCTGATGACGCACCGTGACGCCCACAGGGGCTCCCCTGCTGGTCCGGGGGCTAAGACGCCCGGCTCCCAGCGCGGGGGCCCGTGTACCACCCCTCACGGGCAACCGGATCCCAGGTGCTACAAGTAAGCGTTCTCATGCCACAACTGAGACCCCGCACAGTCAAATGAACACCTTTTTTTTTTTTTTTTAAAGATGCCTAAACTTTATTATTCAAACTCCGATTCTTAAGTTTTGATCTAATCATCAGGAAACCAGCTTCTCAGAGAAGGTAGTTCTGTATTAGAGGAAATAAATATTAGCTCTGGGGCAAGTCTGAGTTACTCTAGAAAACAGCCTTTGGTACGAAGTTTCAGGTTACAATCTATATAAATGAGAGATGGTGATTTTACGCCCCACAAACTTCCACCTCAGACCAAACTCGTGCCTTGAAAACACACAAGGCAAAAGGAACATATTCATCACGTCAAATGAGGCTTCATCAGATGTTAAATGTAGAAAGCCTAAGTAGCCAACAGTGGAGTGTGAGTGATTTAACTGAGATGCTTCACTGACAGCTGCAGCGTCGTATCCTGCTCCTTCATCTCATTCTCTCTGCCCCTAAGAGCCTGCCTGCTGTGCGACTTTACACTTTGAAGCACTCAGCGGACCAGCCACCACATACACGCCTTCAGTAGGGTAGTGAAGGGTACTCTCAACATGAAGGGCACACGGCAGCCTTGGGCGACACTCGGGGCCCAGCCACGGCCTGCTGACAACGCCATCGCCCTTGGATGCCGATGCACTTGTCAACAAGGTATCTACACGCAGGAGCTGCCCACTGAAGATGTTTAGACACACAGATACTGCCCCATCCTTAGAAGGAAATGGCAACCCACTGCATATTCTTGCCTGGAAAAGCCCACGGACGGATAAGCCTGGCGGGCTACAGTCCCTGGGGTCACAGAGTCAGATATGACTTAGTGACTAAATAACAACAACAAAGCGTTTTGTAGACAAAGATCCAGAATACACACTATTGCCGCTTAACACCTAAGACAAACATTGCTAATGACATGTTTTCACAACCATGCAGTCAGTCACAGACTGGTATCAGCAAATGACATCTGCGGTTATGTTAAAATATCAGTTCACAGAGAGCTTCAGTCGTTGAGTAATGCTTTCTTTAAGGATGTCATCAGTAAACTGCAAGTAGCTGAAAGGATCCAGAAAGGAGAGAGCAGGTCGATCCTATTTCCTTGCCGCAGTTCGGTGAGCAGATGCCGACCCCCAGCGTCCTGGCTCCCCCACCTCCTGAAGACTCTTGCTGTTTGCTCGAGTGGGCTGTCATCACCTCAAAGGTGATCTCACCCCAGCTCAGCAAGTCATCCATCACTGAAGTTCCTCATTTTATGCCTCTTACGAAGACCTCCCAGCCGAGATGAGGCTTGATAAACCCAGCACCTAGTGGATGTCTACCGTGAATGCCTCCGAGAACCTTCAGCTGGCGTGCTACATACACCCTGTATCTGTTCTTCCTCCAGCACGCCCCAGTGTGGTGAGTGTTATCAACCGTCCAGGACCGAAGTCATAAATCCTAGACTCTCTTCTCTCCTCAGGCTCACTCTTCATTACACAAGTGATTCACTGCCTCCATTTCAAAGGAAAAAAAGGCCAAATACAAAGGGAAAAACTTCACAGCCCCAGAATGTTTATCATTAAGTTACGCTGCCTGAACTTTGGCCAATTAAAAATTTGTCTGGGTTCAAGTACCCATACATCAAGGTGAGAAAGTGACCCCAGCTGACTCTCAGAGGGCATCAGTTAAATCACTACCTCCCCTCACCTCGCAGAGATAAGCAGGATTAAGAACTATTTCAATACTGAGGGCTGATCTCTCTGGGGCAGAATCATGGGGAGGCAGCATGAAAACACACGGTTGAGAAAAAACATTAAATTTCTTAAGAGCTACATGGCCCACGGCAAGGTCCTGCCCAGGGCAGAGCAACACAAAACCAACTCTTACTCTCAACATCCATCCTCCTGCACACCCCACCTTCCTACTTCTAAGACACAGAATTAAGACTAATAACCCTACTGCTAATAACATATTTAAGCAATTACTATTTACCGGAACAAGACACTCTGCAAGATCAGAGACCAAAAAGGTTTGAGAGGGCTGACTTAAGAGTCTATAATTTCAATGACAAAGGCATATACTATGACATTTTAACACTGTCCCAATGGGAAATTTCTTCTGAGCTCCTAAAATCTGAATAATGAATTACTGAAGAGCGATGTAGAATGCAGAATTTTGAGACCGTGGGAAGAAAGTCCTTTCTACATATACTTTTGGGATTTGGGATACATGCAAGCTCACAGGTTCTATGCAAGCAAGACACAGCTGACGATTCACGTGCACACACACACACACAGCTGCCAAAACATCAAGTTCTTTTTGTTAGCCAAGAAGAAAGTCAGTGTGAAACGGATTGCCAGTCCAGGTTTGATGCATGAGACAGGATGCTCGGGGCTGGTGCACTAGGATGACCCAGAGAGATGGGATGGGGAGGGAGGTGGGATGGGGGTTCAGGATGGGGACACATGAGCACCCATGGCTGATTCATGTCAATGTATGGCAAAAGCCATTACAATAGTGTAATTAGCCTCCAATTAAAATAAATAAATTTGTATTAAAAAAAAACTGAAAGGTCGACAAAAAACAAAGCCAAACTAAAATCTACTCATAATCTTCAAAAGATGATGTGGCATCATTTCCTTTATAATCACTGTACAGATAATTAAAACATGGATTTTAAACACGCAGACCAGTTTTAATACCATATAACCCCTCCCATCGGGAGTCACCTCTCCATCTTTTTAATTCCTTGATCCTTGTATGTAGGTTAACCTGACCACATGCTCCCCACACGTCTGAGCTTGAAGGAGAGGGACAGAGCTTCAGATCACTGTTACCCTGCCGGTGCTCACGTGTTGAACATAGCAGGTGCAGAGTACACATATGATTAATTAGGAAACAAATGAAGTCAAGTAATCAACAGGTTCTAACACCTTCCTTGTAGTCAGCCTTCCTACTAAGGCTGAGTAACCCACATGGAGCTGCCAGGACCACTCACCCGGTGAAAGGACTGGCAGGTTCCAGAGGAGAGGATATGGGCAGGCATTCAGGCTAAACACGACACCTTAGAGGCAACTCCTGTAAACCTCCCCCCAAACACTCGGTGCTCTGGCAACTGGCAAAATGGATTAAAGAAATGATATCACCAGCTATCAGTCAGAGTAAACGATGCCAGCAATGTCTCTCAGTTAAATTCAGGGACACGTTAAAATATCACAGGACCCTCCTACCCCTGTATGAACAGGGCAGGTGCCAAAGCTGGTACCTGGGGGTCATATCCAAGACTTGGTCCCAAATGGCTGCATGAGAAACCATAGGGCTGAGGGCTTCCTAGCAGCCTGATGCTACCCAGTATGCAGAAAGGAGCCCTGAGAATCCTCTCCGCCTCTTGTGAACCTTTCAGATCAGGTGCAGACAGAGGAGCCTGGTGTGCTACAGTCCATGGGGTTGCAAGTCGGACACAACTTAGCGACTAAACCATCACCACCACCACCACCACAGTTAACCTAAAGGAAAACACCTGAGACGTCAGCACACTGATCTGATCTGTGGACAGTCCCCCATTTGCGTGCCAATCTGTTTAATAAATATCTGTGTGTCTGGAGACTTGCTTTCCACAAGAGCTGGTAGACGGAGCTCGCGTTATAGAAATGTGCTAAGAAGCCTTCATCAGCCTCTACCGGTGACTATTATTTATGAAAAAGAACCTAATAACTGGACAGGGCTGAACAGTTTAGATAAGGTATGTCTCTGTGCTGACATGCAACTCCATCATTCACAGACAAGCCTTGATCAGCCCAAGGGACCGGGGGAGGGTGTGGGCCTGGGAAGGATCTCCTTCTGCTCTTGCCCACGGCCACGTGACGCCAGTGTAAGGAGCCCTTCAGTGACCTTTGTTAGTGAAAAAGCATCAGTGGCCCGGCTGTGCAGTAGGTCAGGAGGAGTCGGATTCATCAGCTTGACCATGAAGACCCACTCAGGTGGCTGCCTGAAGAGCTGTGGTCAGACGTCCCAAGTGGGGAGGGGGAGCAAAAGCCATTTCCACACGTTAAGTAACAACGAGTAGCATTATATACTTCCTGTCCTGCATTGCCAGAAGTTAAAACCGTGGGATCTCAAATTCTCATGAAAATTTGACGTGATCTATTTCCCACAAGCTAGCTACAGTTCCAGCAATGACTTACAGACCTTGAGGAAAGGGCAAAGCACACATTTACTCAAAATCCAGGCAACTGCATAACCGACGTTGCTTCATCTGCACTGGGAGAGCCCGCTACAAAGAACATGTGGGGGACACTCTCGGGGAATCCCACAGACCTTTCCTAGGCAAGCATGAGCTCCAGCAAGACATTTGCTCAGGGACTGGGAGCAGGATCTGGCAGTCCCCATCCATGTGAAATAGCATTTCCAAAGGTGAAATCCCTAAAATCTTACTACGTGGCATTAGGAAACATTAACATCAATTTTGGTGACAAGAGCTCTTAAACTGAACCCCTATTAAGTTATCCCTCCCCCAAAGGAGAATTCTATCCTCATTAGAATTGTGTTACAAAAAAATTACTGAACTTGTGAGTTTCATCAATAAAAAATTGGTGAAAATGGTTTTCTCACTATACCTACATACCTTGATTTTGCCTGATCCACAAAGTTCAAAATATTTTGACTTGTTACAGGAAAACTTCACTGACTCCTGAAATACATTTAAAGATGAGGCAGTTCTGCTGCTCCATTGACATCAATATGGAAATGCCTGACACGTTTCAAAGACAAAAGACATTAAGGCAACAGGATACCATAGTCTTACGTATGCAGTAAAACCTCCCTGAGACATCTTGAACTTAAGGCGCTTGTGGACAACCCCCCCCCACCCCCGAACATCTGGAAGGAAACGCACAACTGCTGGCAGCCTGTCTCTAGCAGACACCAACCACGGCCTGTTCACGAAGCACCCAGGGTTACATCCAAAACATCAATCACAACTGGCTTCTCATCACACCCGGAAACAAAAGCAAAGCACCCCAGGCTTGCCCCTGCCTGACAGCACTTCCTCCCAGTCGCTCTCAGCCCAGAGTAGCTGCTGCTGCAGTGGTCTCACTGCGGCTTCTACCTCAGGACATTGGCACTTGCCGTTTCCACAGGCTGAAACACGGCCCCCAGCCACAAGGTACCTCTTCTCCTGTGTCCAGGCCTGAGGGCCGAGGCCACCACCTCCGAGAAGCCCTCCCGGGCTGCCTTCCCTAACCAGCACACTTCTGCTCATGCTTCTTGCTACCTGACGTGACGCTGACATTCCTGTGCTGTCCATCCATCTCATTAGGACATGGCCTCTGCGTGTGTGGGGTGGGGGAAGACGGGGGTCACTGCCCGCTTCTCTCCCATCTCCCTGGGAATCAGAGGGGACCACGGGACACAACAGCTGCATGGAAATAGCTGCTAAATGAACCAACAAAAGGAGGCGAGGTCAGGACGGTTTTACTCTTTTTAGCAATCTGTCTTACACTGAGCATGTGCTTGTTTAGTTTATGAAACTAGAAAACAAAGTTTGGAAAGAAAAAACTACTGGTTAATAGGGAATGTTTCATGCAAAGATGGGCACAACAAAGGACAGAAACAGGATGGTCCTAACAGAAGCAGAAGATATTAAGAAGTGGCAAGAATACACAGAAGAACTGTACAAAAAAGGTCTTATGGGCCCAGATAACCATGATGGTGTGATCACTCACCTAGAGTCAGACATCACAGAGTGGAAGTCAAGCGGGCCATAGGAAGCATCACTATGAACAAGCTAGTGGACGTGACAGAATTCCAGCTGAGCTATTTCAAATCCTAACAAATGATGCTATTAGAGAGCTGCCCTCAACATGCCAGCAAATTTGGAAAACTCAGCAGTGGCCACACGACTAGAAAAGGTCAGTTTTCATTCTAATCCCAAAGGGCAATGCCAAAGATGTTCAAACTACCACACAATTGTGCTCATCTCACATGCTAGCAAGATAATGCTCAAAATCCTTCAAGTTAGGCTTCAACAGTACATGAACTGAGAACTTCCAGACGTGCAAGCTGGATTTAGAGAAGGCAGAGGAACCAGAGATCAAATTGCCAACATCTGTTGGATCACAGAAAAAAAAAAGAACTCCAGAAAAACATCTACTTCTGCTTTACTGACTACACCAAAGCCTTTGACTGTGTAGATGACAACAAACTGGAAATTTCTTAAAGAGATGGGACTATCAGACCACCTCACCTGCCTCCTGAGAAACCTATATGCAGGTCAGGAAGCAACAGTTACAACCAGACATGGAAAGACAGACTGATTCCAAATAAGAAAAGGATATTGTCACCCTGCTTGTTTAACTTATATGCAGAGTACATCATGAGAAACGCTGGGCTGGAAGAAGCACAAGCTGGATCAGGACTGCCGGGAGAAATATCAATAATCTCAGATATGCAGATTACACCACCCTAACAGCAGAAAGCGAAGAGGAACTAAAGAGCCTCTTGATGAAGGTGAAAGAGGACAGTGAAAAAGCTGGCTTAAAACTCAACCTTCAAAAAACTAAGATCATGACATCTCCCATCACTTCATGACAAATAGATGGGGAAACAATGGAAACAGTGGAAGACTTTATTTCCTTGGGCTCAAAAATCATTGCAGATGGCAACTGCAGTCAAAGATGCTTGCTCCTTGGAAGAAAAGCTATGACCAATCTAAACGGTGTATTAAAAAGCAGAGACATCACTTTGTTGACAAAAGTCCATCTAGTCAAAGCTATGGTTCTTCCAGTAGTCACGTAGGGATGTGAGAGTTGGACCCTCAAGAAGCCCGAGAGCTGAAGAACTGATGCTTTCAAATTGTGTTGCTGAAGAAAACTTAAGAATCCCTTGGACAGCAAGGAGATCAAACCAGTCAATCCTAAAGGAAATCAGTCCTGAATAATTCATTGGAAGGACTGACGCTGAAGCTCCAATACTTTGGCCACCTGATGCAAAGAGCCGACTCACTGGAAAAGACCCTGATGCTGGAAAAGATTGAGAGCAGTAGGAGCGCGCCACAGAGGATGAGATGTTTGGATGGCATCAGCGATTCGATGCACCCGAGTTTGAGCAAACTCTGGGAAATAGTGAAGGACAGGGAAACCTGGTGTGCTGCAGTTCATGGGGTCATGGAGTCAGACAGGACTGATCGAATGAATGACAGTCACTTCAATGGTTACCTTTTAAAAACTCAGGTTTCTCCCTCCATGCACTTTTCTACTGACATTTATTTCTGAGTCTCTTAGAAACTCGTTCTCACAAGCTCTACAGCAAGCACATCTGAGATACTACCGAGGGCGATGAGTAAAAGTAAACAGAAAGCATAAATTGGAAAAAGACTTTTATTTCAACATCATTGTGGAGAGGCACAGCTTGATGTACAGACTGGGCTCTGCTGCCCGCAGTTTCAGCGTCTCTCGACGTCTAAGACAGCTGCAGGCAAAGTGCATTTACTGGTGCTGGCTTCCCGAAGAGGGGACCTTCCAGGCGGGCCGACTACGGACCTCCTAAAACATTGGTGGGTCCTGAGTTTACATAACAAAACAAGCGGATATGGTGAGGTTACAAGATAGTTAGGTCTTTTCCTGCCCTAAATTCAGTGATTTTCTGTCTACTGAAATGACATAAAACAAGGGGCATCTAGATGTCCTGACATTTAGTGCACTGAGAATATCTGACCCCATCTCTGAGTCAGACTGAGTTATTCTGGGGTCCTTCCGACACCCCATGACCCCAGACCCCACAGGGCCCTGGACGCGAGGTGAATCCCAGAGGAGGACAATCATTGCTCACAGTATTGGGCCATAGGGTGCTTCACACTACCTGAGAGCAGATTTTTATTTTTACTTGATTTATGTTTGCACATCATTAAGTATTATTCAAAAGCTGCGATGAAAACAGAATGAGAATGTAAGGTTCAAGATCAGGATCTTCTTAATTACTACAACTCTGTATACCCACTGTTTTCTATTAACTTAGATCTGACATCATTTTAAAGCAAATATTTTGAAAGCACATACCAACCATAAAGGAACATAAAATAAAGGTTGTCAAATTTTATGTATTTTATAAATATTTAATAAAGTTTTATAGAGATGAGAAAGCTCAGATATAAACACGTTAATAACACACAGACTAAATTCTCTGAGATAATTCTGAGGAGTCTAAACCCAAGGGAAAAATATGCAATACAATTATGTCCATTTCAATCCCTATGACTTCTCCATTTTAAAAAGGTTAAGACGGGCGAAAAAAAAAAGATGAAGGTTAAGATGATATCAGGATTTAACAAAATAATGAAGAATAAACTTGGCCTCACTGAAATTTTAACCCAATCTTTAGGTGGAGATGATTTAAGTTCATGATTTTTCACTTTTGACTGCTGAAACCTATTTGTAATCAGAAAGTCAAAAAGGTTTTCTACTGTTGTTACTTTTGCTATAATGACATAATCTGCTACCATGGTTTTAATTAGATAGGAATAAATCTATTTAAATTATACACTTAAAGCAAATAAAAAGAAGTCTAAAAAGGTCTATTACAATGAACTACTTGCTTAAAGTATTTTAAAAAAATATTTCTTCAGAACTAACACCAGATAGTTTTTTCAAAAATAAATATTGATAACTTACTTTCACATTTATGCTTTTGTCTTTTCTTGACAAAATGCATGATTTACACTGCCATAATTTCCCTTCTAAAATAAACAGCTTCACTGTTATAAAAAGATGCATGATTTACACTGCCTTAATTTCCCTTTTAAAGTAAACAGCCTCCTTGTTATAAACAGACCATTTTAAAAGCTCTCCACTAGTGTGCATCTTTGCTCAGTGATGCTGCAGTGAGAGGCTACAGTGAAACCAGGACAAACACCCTCTCTAGGCCATTCTTCACAAAAGACAGCACCTATAGGACTTAGAGAAATGTATTCATAACAACAGGCTTAAGCAAGGAACCTAGAACCTCCTTAGGGCAGTAGGCTGTCTATTCCTCAGGAATAATGAATTTACCATTGTAAATATCAAATATACGTTCTTCAAAGTTTTTTTAAAAAGGGAAAAAAGAAATATTTTGCTTATGAAAAAGCTGTGTTAGGTGTGGCTGACGGATGCCCTGTTGCACATTCTCAGAGCACAGAGACCTGTAAAAGGAGGCTCACGTACTTTCTCTACTTCCTTGGGCTGGCGCTTTCCTCTCCGTGGATCCTTCCTCAGCACAGTCACCTACAGAGTTCAGTTCACCCTCACTGTGCACTTCAGGAGACTCCGTCATTTCGAGAGAAGGGCCTTCTTCCTGCATGCTCTGGGTGTCAGTGCATTCTTTCCTCTTCTCCCTGCTTCCTTTCAGAGGGCTGGTGTCTCCCTGTGGTCCCGTCTGGGGGACGAGTCCGCTGGGGGCGTGCGGAACGTCACCCCCAGCGGGGCGGGCATCGCCCAGACCCTGGGCCTCGGCCTGGGCACAGGGCCCGGGGGTCCTGTCAGCAGCAGGCATGCCCCCCGAGGTCTCGCTGCCCAGCCCCGCGTCTGCCCCGGAGAGCACAGGCCTCTCCAGGCAGGGGCCGGGCTTCGCCGTGGAGCAGGTGCCGACGGCGGGTCTGGGGCCTCTGCCGATGAGGGAGAGGTCAGCCCTGTCCAGGAGGTTGGTCCTCTCGGTCTTGGAAAGGCTCCTCTGGCCTCGGAGCGGAGGGGGGCTGGAGGGCAGCTGCTCCCCAAGAAGCCCCTCCGAGACCCTCTCCTTGAGATTGTCAGGAGAAAAGTAATCATCGTACGAGGACTCCTCGAGGGCCAGACTCTTGACAGCGGGCCTCCGCACACAACACAGGCCGCTCTCCGCCTCCCACAGCCGCAGGCAGGCTACAGGGCGCTGCCGGAGGGACCGCCTCCTGTTCCGCCCCTCCTCTGAGGCTGGCCAGTTCTCCAGGGTCTTCCTCCTCTTGATGGAGGAGCCCAGGGCTTGTGCACGGCCCTCGGGGCGGCCTTTCGTAGCAGAGGACACGGGAGACAAACGCCTCTTCCCGTCAGACAGCCCCTGGGCCGCCGGCCGCGATGGCTTCAAGACGGGGCTGACAACCCCACCTGCAGCCCTGCTCTGCTGGGGGGTCTCGGCCTTGGGAGGACTGCTGGTGGATCTGGGAGGAGTCCAGAGACCCAGGGGACGGGGAGCTGCTGAGGGGCTGCCACGGCCTGTCTGCAACACCGGCGACGCAGCGCACAGATCACTTTCCCTCTCAGTGATGAACTCGCTCCATTTCCTCTCCCGGGTCCCACTTGCAGAGCCTCCACAAGGATCGTCAGCAGACATGGGCAGACCACCGGCAGAAGAGTTATCTGCAACACATGAAAGACGGATTCACTTTTTAAGGGTTTAAATTAGTATAGAAGTACTTGTCAGTACAATACAATGATGCTCCCTGAGCGCAGCTCCTGGTGCAGAAGGGTCCTCCTCCCACCCTGTCAGGATACCTTCCAGCTGGCACTTCCAAGCAGGAAGGCCAGGCTCCCTGCGCCTCAGACAGGATGGGATCGAGAGGTGGGAAGGCTGGGGTCCCCGTGCCTCAGACAGGATGGATCGGGAGGCGGGAACGCGCTCTGGACGCCCACCCACTGGGCGCCTGGCTCCAGGAAGAGTCATGGACCCCCGAGGAAGCTGGAACTCTAGATGGAAGGCCGCCACGTCCAGGCTCCAGCGCTATGGACTCCACACCTGAGTTGACAGCGGGTCTTACCCCACCCACAGCATTAACACTCTACTCAGAGGGGAAGAACGGAGGTAACCCCCAGGGAACGGGGGGAATCCCAGGAGGTGGACGGTGCCGTGTGTTCCGAAGCCCACAGCTGGAAATGCAGCACACATTTAATTCTATTAATAGCAGCTGAACAAGCTCAGCTCACTTTTCAAAAGGCTGACAAGCAGCATGACATGGCCTAGGAGTACAGATGCTGAAGCCAGACAGCCTTGGTCAAAGCCTGGCCTGGTCAGCCAAACGGCAGGCCCTCGTACGAGCTGTCTGCCTTCGCCCTGGCCTGGTGCTCTCACAGAATGGGGACAGCAGTGTCCACACCACAGGGCTAATAGGAGAACTGGCTGAGACGAAACAAGGAAATCCCGTTATATTTGTCACTCGTTTCCAACTTACATGAAATAATGCGCATCAGGCATGAAGTACAAAAGATGGAGATAATTCAAGACACGTGGGCAAATAATTTCAACACAAAGAGATTAAAGACTAAACCACGCACAAAACGAAGCCTCTGTTTAAACTCCCAGTATCTTGGTTGTCCTTTCTTATTGTGGTGGCTTTCAGAAGACAGTCCATAACAGTTCACAACTTTTGAATCTATTCCTGCCACGGACCACTGCTATTTACATGGCCCCTGGTGGCTTGGAGGTTAAAGTGTCTGACTCCAATGCCGGAGACCTGGGTTCAATCCCTGGGTCGCGAAGATCCCCGGGAGAAGGAAATGGCAGCCCACTCCAGTATTCTTGCCTGGAGAATCCCATGGATGGAGGAGCCTGGTAGGCTACAGTCCGCGGGGTCACAAAGAGTCAGACACGACTGAGCGACTTCACTCACAATGGGGGCTGGTGACACAGTTTTAAGAAATGGAATATGACCAGAAAGACAACACCCAAGAAAAGTGATCATTTAGAGTGAAATAAGGACTCCCACATATAGAAAACCACATTCATAATACAAAACTCTAGTTTTACCAATTCTTTCCAACACTGCTTCTAATTAGAAATCCTCTTTGTTTTTTTATCTCCTGTAGTTTTTGTGATCTATGCCTACTTCCTGACTTGTTCATACATTCATTACACAATGTGTGAACCAACTCTCTCGTGGCTCTATCGGTTCTCAGTATCATAAGCTCACTGCATAGTTTAAATCACTGTATGGTTTAAACACAGTACTTTAAACTCACTGTAGTTTAAATTGCATGCAGATTGGCTCATGTACAATTTTTTTTTTAATGAGCAATTGATTCTGTGCCAAGAAAGCAAATATCTAGGAGAAAAAGCAGGGGAACCAAAAGCATGCTTAAGTCATATAATTACTCATGCCTTAATTTTAGTAAAGCATCTATTTTTGTAAATTACGACACCTAATTTCAGAGTGAAATTCACAAATTCTAGCTTTTAATTGTTTTTCTCATTAGAAAAAACTTCAAACAGGAAAATCATATTATCAATATTAAATATATCACAGAAAAGAAAATAATTTTACCTGAACACAAAGTATCATGTGAAAGGTTCAAAGATGCTTCACACAGAGAGTTCACAGTGTTATCACCAGGCTGTTCAATCATCTGGGAGGCTGAAAACAATCACAACTCCTCATTAACACAGCTCTGAGCTCTGGGAGCAGATGAGGCCGACAGCAGGCCCACTCCTTCTGCTCTTGTATGACACACACACAACTTACTCCTTGTACTTCCTATTCTAGACTTCAGCAACACAATAAGCACAAAAACTAAGTCTTACTCAAATCTACTGCTTATAAGAGTCATTAAAATATAGTTATACACGTCATTCCATAAAAAAGGCATAAACCCCTAGGATAATAAAATTTGGAAGGGATCTGGGGAGTCGGCCACCTTGAACGTAAGTAGAAGCTCAACAGAGGCAAACAAAACCTTTCAGTCGGTCTCACTGCTCCACAGCCAAGGCCTTTTTTCACAATAATCACAGAGAGCTGCCTCTTTGAGCAAAGCAGTGGTTCTCAACCAGGGATCGCCTGGGTGCCCAGCAGATACCACTGGGCGTCACGCGGGTGGGGTGGGGTGGACCGTGCGCGAGTTGCGGGCATCGAGCAGGCAGAAGCCAGGGACACTGCTGAACCTTCTGTCAGGCACAGGACTGCCTCTCCAGCAGCAAAGGAAGATCCAGCCCCGATGTGCAGCGTGCAGAGGCTGGCAAACCCTGGAGGTTTCATAGGGAACCCTCAGGTGATCAGTGATTTAACAAGCAAGGCCATGGGTGTTATTTTCAAAGGCCCTGCAGATCAGAAACAAAATCGATACCTTGGTCACACAGACAAAGACTTTTTTTGAGGAGACTATAAAGGATACTTTTCTGAGAAAACAATTATAAAATAAGAATAGACCACGATAAGGAAGGTAAGCACAGAGCCAAAATTTTCAGTTGTTTTAAACTCTGCTGGAGGCAGTTATATATAGCATAATTAACACTGCAAAGTAATGGAGCAAAGTTTAAGGCCAATTACTCCACATACATATAAAGGCAAATACACAATTATTTGCTGAACCAATTTGGATATTCCCTTGGGACACTGCTAGCGTCCTACCTCAACATCCATTCCCATCTTCCTCTTACAACAGAACCAAATTTAATTAGTGTAAATACACATCCCAGTTAAGACTATATGTCAGTCTTGCTTGCCGGGCCCTGCAGACGACTTGGTTTTGTCTCCTACTTCCTAGGCTAAAACTACTGCATTCCCTTAGTTGTGTCATCCTGAATACCACTGGCCATTCTAAACTTAACTGGAAGATTAAATTAGACGTATGAAAACACACACACAGAACTGTATTATATTTCCTGCTTATCTTTTGCCTCTGCAGCTCTTGAGCCATACATGGCTGCACTTAACTTGCAACCAGGCATGGACACAGGACTGGGTCTGGCCAGTGGAACTGGCAGTGGCCGTGGGCAGACGCTGGTGGGGCTGCTCACAGGGAGCTGGCCCTGCGAGACGGGGCCCAGGCTCTTCAGAACACCATCGACACAGACCCCCAGCCCTGCCTGCCGCCTCCTCTGTCAGGACAAAGAAATGCAACATGTTTATCTGTTAATCGGCGGCCACAGCTAACCTTATAACCTTAACTGCCCACTGCATATGAAACACAAACATAAACTCAGGACAGATGAAATAACTAACCTTAAACTCTAAGAGTAATAGAAGAAAATGTAACAGCTACAACAACTTTAAAACCTTGTGCAGGAGGAGTTCTACACATCACAGGAATCCTGAAGGCCAGAAGGAAAAGACAAACAGGTTTGTCTACCTTCAATATACCATATCTGTTTCTTACAAGCCACCGTATGTTAAATGATAAACAGCAGAGTCTGTGAATGTTACCCCACAGTCTATCTGCTGAGTGCCTGCTACACGAGTACAAGCGCTCACACGAGAAGCTGGGAGGGAATCCTTGTAACACGTAATTAGCTCTTACAAATCAGAAAGAAAATAACGCATAATAGGTAGTTGTACAAAGATTCAGGGATAATGTACAGAGCATAACATTTAAATGCAGTCAGTGATGTGAAGACTTCCAACCTCACTAGCAAACTCACTGGAGCCCTCAGAAGCGAATTAAACAGAGAACTGCAATGTTTCCATCTCAGATTGAGAGAGACGTGAAGACTAATGCCATCCAGTTTCCCAAGGGTGAGACACTGCAGTTCTCATAAACGACTGGCAAAGGGTGAAAATGGCACAAACCTTCTGAAGGGCAATCTGACAATATCTACCAAAAACGTTAAAGTCTGCCTTCATGACTTAATATTATTGCAAATACATGAAATACACAGAAACATATTCATGTAGAAGCATGTCCACTAGCATGTGGGTTATGAGAGCAAACGGTAGGGAGCAAGCTGAATGGCCAGAAAGGAAGATGACCACATAACATGCGGCTAAAAAAAAAAATAAAAAATAAAAACTGCAGCACTATTGCTATTAAAAAAAACTAGAAAAATAGACAATGCAACATCTTAAAAACAAACAAACAAACAGATATTCTACACCAAGATACTTCTAAATGAAAAAAGGTTTAAAGTAAGAGGTATGCCATGATCTAATTTAGGTAAAGAAAAATTACATCACTGCAAAGAAAGACACAGAAGCCTAATCTTTTTCATGACTACATGGATGACCCACTGACAAAGACCTGGAGAAATACATCACACAAAACTCAAGTTACCCAGGGGCAGAGGAGAATTAGGTGGGAATCAAGATGGATGCTTATCACAAACAATACACTGGTCAATGTTTTACAAAAATGTGCTTATTACTTAAAAATTTAAGATAAAAGAAATAACAGGTAAACTTAATCTAAAGTTAAGACACTAAATCTATAATTAGGACACTTAATCTAAAGCAAACTTCAGAAGAGGGGAACGATTAATTTTTTAAGAAAGAAAAATCCCAAATATATTAAATACCAAATGTATACAGCAAATGGGGTTTTAAACCTGGAGAATACTAAAAACCCCATATATTCTTAAAAAATCAGAATAAAGCGAAAGATTTTCTGGAAGAGAGTATCAACAAAGTCTACTCTGAAACAGTTAGAATCAAGAAACATCAGCTAAAATAATTATGTAAAAGAAAAAGCCCTTTCCACGACTGATTCACCTAGTTCACAAATCTCCCTGTGTCAAGTGCCAGCACTTACAGGTGGGGGAAAGGTTTTCCCGTTTCTTCTTCATCTCCTGCAGCCTCTTCTTCATTGCACTGTGGTAGCCCCTGTAGACTTTACCGGTCGGGCTGTATACCAACGAGCCATTAGATTCAAATAAGAGGACAGGAACATTGGTACCTGAAAATAAACAAATATCCAGTTTTAAGTTAAAAAATGCCTTCCTTCTTCAACAATGTTATTCCTTTAAGGACACCCTTGTCCCCCTTCCGCAGGTTTCCCCTTCCCTGCTGACAGACACACAGAGACCCACAGGTGAACTTGGCGGCAAGAAAGGAGCTCAAGGTACCCCCGGAGCCCTGCAGGGGCGGGCGCAATGTGAGCGACATCAGGCGGGGGGCCTGGAGCACGGGCGGCAGTCAGCGCTGACCCGTCAGGGAGGTGGCTGCAGGCACCGGGGAAAGAGGCTCGATTTGTCAGGCAAAGGAAGGACTGAGCTGAGGACAAGGGATTCAGCCAGATTTCTGGAAAGCTATCGGGCATCACGTGCAGGCTCAACACCTAGAGAAATGAATGCTTTCTACTTCTATGCTAAGCATTATAGTTTAACAAAACTGCTTATCTCTATCAGTGATGTGTCAAGATTGGTCTGAAATAATGAATTGAGAGACCAGTGAAAAAGGTAAAAAAGAGAAATACTAAGAACACATGAAGTACTTCAAAGTCTGATGATCTTTCAAAGTATTTTTCTAAATCATTGAAAGAACGTATTATCTAACATCTGACTACTCTGGATAACAAAATAAAAACACAAAGCCCTGGGTAAAAATACCCACACACACACAGAGACAGACAGACAGACACACACACACACACATAAAGAAGAAATAAAAATGGACTCATTCCAATAGGGTTAATCAAAGATCACATCTTTAATAATCATCCCTGGGGAAAAAAAATAGTTCCATTAACCTGGTGAAATGATTAGTTCAACAGCGAGGACCAGCGATGGCTGTGGTCAGGTTCCTGCAGTGACCCGTGCCCCTCAGCCACGGCCCCCGGATGCAGGAGTCAGCAGGCAGATGAGGCCACAAGCAGAGGCGAGCACCAAGGACACCCTGCGTCTCTCGGCTTACCCAGAGTGGTTTTCTGCTGCTGCAGCTCTTTAGCCATTTTCTCAAATTTCTTTTGAAGCCTTTTATCATTTTCTGGTGTCTTGGGAATAAAATCTTTGGGCTGCATACACTTGCGCTGCACAAGAAGAACATAAAAATTAATACCCTACTGCATGTGTGCAAGACAGGAAAAGAAACCTTTCACACATACTGCTGATATCTTTTGTAAAATCAACAATAAAACCTTCTCAGAGCAGTATTTCTTTCACTATATTTGAATTCGTAGTATTTATTCTTCCTACAACTGTGAGAACATAGACAAAATTTAAGACTGAATAAAACGTTATATGGGCCTTTTCAGGTGGCTCAGTAGTACAGAGTCTGCCTGTCAAAGCAGGAAACGCGGGTTCCATCCCTGGGTTGGGAAGATCCCGTGGATGAGGAAACAGCAACCCACTCCAGTATTCCTGCCTAGAGAATCCCATGGACAGAGGAGCATCACTGGCTACAGTCCCTGGGGTCACAAAGAGTCAGACATGACTGAGCAACTGAGCACCTAGGCAAAGAGCTATATGCTAAATAGCTATGTTTTCTGAGGCATTTTCAGGGTCTTTGCATCGCTTCCATGAGGATTCTTGAAATTAGTCTCTTTTTCCTAACTCTTGCTACTTCTGTTATGTGCTCCTGCCATCCCCCCAAAATCCTTACATGGTAATATAATACAAAATGAATTATAACCACCAAAGAAGAGAACCATTCTTTAATCTTGCCTTACTGTCATCAAGTCACAGTAACTCCATTCAGCCAGTAACTGTGCACGCAAAGCGCGACAAACGAGGAAGCCCGGGGCAGGTATCCAAGGAAGTCACTTCTCAGCCCAATGTGCTCATGTGGGTCCCAGGCTATCTCTTTTGTCCCAGTCTACAGGAAGAACTTCTTAGCCATTCAAGGCTGGTGCTACACTGTGCTCTAGATTGGCTTCCTGCTCAATTCCTTAATAACTCACTCATTCATCATTTAACAAAAATGTTACTGTGTCAGACACTGGTCTTAAAACATAGAAAGATTCTTGCCATCAAGGAGCTTATTCTCTGAAGGAATGACAGAAAATATACACAGCAAGTAAATTAAGTTGCACGCATGTCAGAAGGATTAATTCCGGCAGGCCTGAGGCTGGCCTGAGCTGTCTTTGCCAAGTACCTGCATAGAATGCAAGGTACTGATCAGCAGTGCAGCTTTGGGCCTCTGGGTCCCCGGTGGCGGCAGGGGACGTGTGCACCTGGAAGACGGTCAGCATCGCCCCTTTCCAGTGGCCGGGCCTGCTGCTTGGGAGGTGACGCAGTGAAAAGGTGGGCAGGTGACCAGCAGAACATATGAGACCCCCAGGGCCTGCGGGTCGGGAAGCAGTGTCACCCATGAGGGGCCCCGTGACCCTGAGAGACTGGCTGCCCCTAGTTTTACAGTGCGCAGAAGGCGTGAGTGCCGTAAGGAAAAAGGTGGGGAGGGTCAGGACGCAGGACGGTGGGAAGGACCCGCCTCCATAAACGGGAGCCACAGGGCTGCTCCTTGAGGCGCCCCCATGGGACTCAGAGAACCACCTGCGGGCGGATGAGGGAAGCGTGTCCAGATAGCGGAACAGATGGTGCGACGGCTCTAAAACACAAGTGCATCCAGTGAGTTTGAAGAACAGCAAGCAAGAGGGTCAGGCCAGCAGCAGTGAGGGAGCAAAGCAGAGAGCCTCCTCAGAGGCCAGAATAACAAGGCTTGGAGTCAGGTTAAATCTGCAACTGCACTTGGACAGGGGAAGCAAGGGGAATGCCTTTAGGGATGAATAAATCCTTAAGCGGTGAAGGGTGTGAGCAGACAATATTAATGCTTCAGATTAGGAAAAATTTAACAGATGAGTAATATTCAGCACAGGTCAGTGTCACCCTTGTACACTACTGGAGGAACTGTGTAAGTCCACTTCTAGATATTCCACTTGGAGAAATAAACTCAAACAGGTTACATGAAGCATGTAGTTAGTAAAAATCATCAATGATCTCAGGGTGCCTGAACCCAAGAGATGTTCATGCCATTTAACACAAAGCAGAAGTCAGTGGAGCCACACACACACTGACATGAGAACATGGTCTAAGCGAGGAAGAAAAAGTAACCCACCAAGAGTACATGTAATGCAGTAGAACCCGGCTCACATAAAACCTATGCGCGCACACACGTGTACCAAAGATAATCCAACTGCAAGAACCCAAATCAAACTGAAAACAGTTTTTCGAGGAAAGGGAAATTAGGAGAAATCTGCCTGATCTGAGTTTACTCAATGCATGTGATGAAAATGTGCTTTTATTGGCAATGTTTATATTAAACACTTGTCTTTAAAGCAGTAGACACAGCTATTGCGGGCCTATAACAGAGTCAGTACCGCCCGACACGATCTGGACAGACACTGAAGTTTCCAGCCCTGCATGAGCGTGTTCCAGGTTGTCTGAGAAGAAATGTGAAGGAGATACAGGATTTACCATTTTCAGAAACCATGGGGACATCCACGGGAATGTCTCCCCTAGTCTACAGGAAATGTATACCTCTCCTCTGCCTGACTCAGTTTGGAGTCTGCAAATCTCTCCAACAGGGATTCTCACGTGATAACAAACTGCCATTTCACAGTCAACAGTTCACCCTCAGATGCAAAAATCAATTAAATCTTTGAAATAATAAAGTGAAACAGATCAAGTGCATTTCACTACAGACACAACCAAATCCTGAAGTCATTACCAGAGCACCTGTGGGTGCTGGTCTCTGGGCTACTGTCAGTTGTCCAATGGCCAAACAGTCTCTTCCATTTCTTACCAACTCCATCAAAGCACTCCTGCAATAGAATAATCTGTAACCCATTAAACAATGCTGTGTGAGAAGAACATTACCACCAATAGCAATTCTTAAAGACAATGTGACTATATTCCAGGAAGTTTCTAGTTTCTAGGAATAAACCGGTAACTGCCACCGTCCACACTAAAGCCGCGTACTTACCTTTTTTCTAAGCAGGCCTGGTAGGTGCTGGTTGGTGCTGGCTGCAGGGAACAGCGACTCGTCAATGTGCGCCCCAGCTACCCTGCATCTGCGGAACCAAGATGGGGTAAAGAGCGTGTTCCCACGAGAGCCACACAACATTCCATCTGCACACGTGTCAGTCAGCAGAACCCCTGCATGGGCCACTGTGACAGAGTTCTTTATAATAAGTGCATTTATTATCGAACACAAAAGGCAATACAAATTCAACTTGCCAAAACCTTCTCTAACATGGTGTTTAAGAAGAGAAGTGAGAAGGCAGCTACTGCTACTGCTGCTAAGTCACTTCAGTCATGTCCGACTCTGTGCGACCCCATAGAGACGGCAGCCCACCAGGCTCTGCTGTCCCTGGGATTCTCCAGGCAAGAATACTGGAGTGGGCTGCCATTTCCTTCTATAGAGAAGGCAGCTAAGGGAAGTGCAATTTTTATGTAACAAGTTTAGACTTGCAACAACACTTCAAAAAGATCAGTGTGTGGCACTCATAAAGGCAGAAGCACATGCCATTAAACGCATAATTTAAGAGCAGACAGGCCATAAAACGAATAACCTAGAGCTAGAAGGTCCTACAGAAACAGGCCAGAAAGCTTGCCTTTCCTCCAAAACTGCGTCCCCCTCCTGGATGTCTGTCAAGGCGTCGCTGCTACCTGGCGCCCCAGGTCTGGGGCCCGGCCATCCCGGGCCAAGCGCCTACCCCAGTCCCGGCCACCCCGGGCCAAGTGGCCACCACGGTCGCGGCCACCCCCGGGCTGAGCGGCACCCCCGGGCCAGGCGGCCTGCTCCCGAAGCTCATCCAGCGTCCCATCTGCCGCCCCTCCTGCATCACCACTGACCCCCCACCTGCTAAGGGGATCCCCCCACCACTACCTACTTCTGAGCATTCAACTGCTCAAACCTAAGCAACTACAATGATTTTCCAAACAATTTTGTTCCCTATGGTTTCTCCTCTCCTGGTTTCATATAAGACTGAAATTTTAATCTTAAAACACTGTATTCATCTTTCCATATCCCAGATCAAACACCTTCTATCACTCTTATGTTTACATAATGATATCACCTATCTGCTAAGGCTTTCTAAAATAAGGCCCCAATCACATTTCCAACTGTATTTCATATGACTATTACTCTGTTCAACATTAATATGCAAATAACAGCTGAAAATAATAGAATACAGTGGAATAAAAAAAAGAATGAGGCAAATGTATCCATGGTGCTATAGAAAGGTCTCTAAAATAAGGATGAAAAGGCAATTTTAAGAGTGTGTGTTTGTGTATGGTATTATACAGTTAAGAATTTCGCACTTGAAAAAATTTTGGGAGGTGACACACCAAACTGACAATTTGTTGTTGTTTAGTCACTACACTATGTCCGACTCTTCTGTAACCCCATGGACTGTAGCCCCCCCAGGCTCCTCTGTCCATGGGGTTCTCCAGGCAAGAATACTGGAGTGGGTGGCCATTCCCTCCTCTAGGGGATCTTCCTAACTCAGAGATCGAACCTGCATCTCCCGCACTGGCAGGCAGATTCTTCACCACTGAGCCACAAGGGAGAGCCCTCACCAGTTACAAATCTCGACGTGTGACTTGAGGGCAGAACTGTTTTCATAAGAACACCTTCTGCCTTGCCGTTCCCACTCCTCACCCTCACAAGCACACAACACATAAAGCTCACCAACTACCTCCTCCCCACATGTCAGGTGCAGACGCAGATATGCAAACGGCCTAGGAAGCTACCAATTTTACCTCCAGCACAGCTTACCAGCTCCGCCTGCTCAGGAGGAATGCCACCCACTTCCCACTGTTACAGGCAACACAACAGACAAAAACATGGGGCGGGGAAACACCCGAAGAGAAGATGTGATGAGATCTGGGATCATCCTATCGACATGGACACGGCGGTAAGGTCGTGACCAGCAGCGCCGTGTGCCTTAACCAGGCCCTGAGAGCCTCCTCCAGCCGGTGGGGAGCAGCGCCTTTCCTCCTACCCAACAGCCGAGGAAACTGAGGCTCACAGGAAACCATCGAAAGAGTTCACAAAACTAGAAGCCTCCTCTGCTGTCAGCAGCCCGGGAGGTGTGCCCCAGCGGGCAGAGGCACCCCAGACCCCAGACGCGCCTCCATGAGGCAGGATGGAGCCCGTCGTGGACACACTCCCTGAAGGCGCTGGGGGTGACCCTGGGTCCGTCAGTGACGCAAGCACCCCATGCGCACACATGCTGCGGAAAATACTGGTGCCTCTACATCAAAACCACGCTCATCAGGCGCTCAATCCCAGTCTACAGCGTAAACAGAAAACACTCACCAGCTGGATTTCTGCTTTTCTTCAGCAAAGTACAATGACACCAACTCCCCACCTAGTGGTTGAGAAGAGAAGTGTTGGCTGCTGCCGCCCTCAGAGCCTGGGGATCGGCCCAGATCCCCCAACAAGTCCTGCTCTGGACCCAGCGAGGCGAGCCGGACCGCAGCGCGGCCCCCACGGCTGCTGGGGACCCCCACACCCCGCACCCTCACAACCAGTGGGCAAGTCATTCTGTACAAGGGCCTGAATCCCTGCGCAGAAGGGCTAGGCACTGAAGGGGAAACCACAAGCAGGTCCTCAGGCGAGGACGGCGCGGAGCGGCTCCAGGCTGCAAGTGCAGTCCTGCCAGGGGGGCTCGGCTCCCGCCCCCACCAGCGCCTCAGGGAGGGGCGCGGGGCAGCACGCCGAGTGAGCCTCCACCGGCAGCCTCAGCGGGGCTGCAGCCGTCTGGGGCAGCGCCCTGCTCGCGGCTGGGGTCTGCGCTCCAGGTGACCTTCCGGGAGTGATCAGAGAGCCAGGGTTTGAACATGGCCGAAAAGAAAGAGAAGTTTCCTAACCATGTCTGAGGGAGGGGTACTCGAGGGAAACACCACCAGTGACAGAACAGCATCCGCAGGCCAGCTCGTGGTCCGGCATCCCACGCTGCGCCTGCGCGGTGCGCACCCAGCAGCAAAAACCCTCTCCCGTGAGCTCTACACTGCAGATGCACCCAGGCCAGCCCGCGGGCCAGCTCCGGCCTTCTCCCGGGAGGCAGGACTTTATTATGCTCACTCCTGCTCACTGATCTTCAAATTAGAGGATGTATGTGCCTGGGAGACAGGAAAACTTTTTTTTTTTAGGAAAACTTTTTAAACAGTAAGCAGACAGGGAGAGTTTGAGGCAGTAAACTGCAATCCCTGCCTTCCATCAGCTTCTGCTGCAGCCTGAGCTCAGGCCAAGAACCCCAGAAGCTCTGCCTCTCTGCCGCGCCCCCTCACCCTGCCAGGCCATGCTGACCCCCTGGACTCCCCACCAGAAGCCCCCACATCCCACCCCTCTCACCCCAAGGCCTTTGGAATTGCCCTTAAAAGGCTGACCAGCTCCCTCCTAACTGTGTCAGGGCATATGCTGGGGAACAAAAGCTTCTGGCACAACGAAAGGAGGGACAATGGACCTCACAAGTCTGATGCCTCTCCTTCATTTAGCGAATCCTAGGACACCTGCCTGGGCCTATCACACGTATTTCTGTTAAGAGTGAATCTTTAAACGAAGTGCTCTGCCCAGGACCGAAGCTGAGACACACTGCAGAGAGGGGAGGGGGCCGCCCTGCCTTTTCTGTCCCCCAAACGCAGCAGTGAGGACTGAGGGGGACCCAGGATAGCAAAGCAAGTGTCTGATGATGGAGTGGCCTTGCCCCCAACACGTGAAACGACAAAACTGCTGAGCAATCTCGATGTCCATGCATCAGGTGCCATGAGCTGGCAGGAAAGGCATCTTTGGGCTGGAATGGCAGGTCCTCACGGGAACTCACTGACGGACTATACATGGATGCTACGGGAAAAAACGCATGGCACAGATACACATCCATATCACTAACTCTGCCCCGAGAAGGTGCAGGAGCAGCAGCCCATGGCGATGAGCTCCCCTCAGATTTTAGGTCCAAATACTATTTTCCACTAAAAGGAACCAGGGCTGCTTGGAGAAAAGGCTGAATCCAGGGCTGGGAAAGAGAAAGTACAAGCTGAGTTTGAACTAAACTGTGCCAGAAGAAAAGAGAAGTGTCCAGAGAATGATAGAGAAATGATAAGCTAAGACAAGTCACCGTGAACGGGCTACCACTGGCCACTGGGGGACAATTCAAACCTTAAAAGGAACACTGAAAGGAATGAGATATGACCCTCTGGATATAGTACACACACACACACACACACACAGTGTGAGGAGGGACAGTTATCTGCACTGTTGGAAAGTACCTCCCTCAAAAGCCGAGTGGGTGAACTTGCCCCAGGGGAGCGGCCTGGGAGGCACCGCCACCACAGGGGACCCATGACCACTCCCAAGCTGACCCTCCACGACACAGACCCCGGAGCACCCTGACTCAGCCCCAGAAAGCTGCTGGTTGCATCTCCTCGGCCTTCTCCCCTTGGAGCCCTTCCAGATACCATGGCGGCTTCCGGGGTGAAGCCAATGGCTGTCAGGTGTGTGGCTGGTGAGATCAGCGTGGACGGCCACAGTGTGGCTGTGCAAGGACATGTGCCTGTGTGTAGGAAACAAACGCAGGGGTGGGGGGCAGGCTCTCAGACGCACAACGGCATTGCCTGGGAACTGTGCCCCCAGCTATCTGACTGTTTGTGACTGCTAAAAAAAACCCTAACTTTCTGATCATGCTTGTGTGCAAGTTAAGTCACTTCACTTCTGTCCTACTCTCTGCGACACTATGGACTGTAGCCCACCAGGCTCCTCTGCCCATGGGATTCTCCAGGCAAGAATACTGGAGTGGGCAGCCATCCCCTTTCTCCAGGGCATCTTCCTGACCCGGGGTGGAACTCCCCTCTCTGCCTCTCCCTCTCCTGCACTGCCAGGCGGGCCCTTTACCACCAGCACCACCTGGGAAGTCAACCTCCAACTGAACTGAGGTGACCGTCAAGCTGACCTTCCTTCTTTCTTCTTCCTTAAACATGGAAATGTTTGTGTCCAAAGGAAATGTCAGAATTCTATCAATTGTAGTTACACAGCTGTCTGCTCTTAGAAAGAACACACCCAAAACAACCC